CTCTGCCGAGGGGTGTTCGCGGAAGACAGCCGGGCAACCACGCAACACGAAACAACCTGACAACTTTGCCACTAAGGACATGTATACACACCCCCCCCCGCCCACGGGCGAAGCGCCCATCAACCCCTCGTCGACGCGGTGACATTGGTCTTGAACGAAGGGCCCAGTTAGGACTTTTTTTGTTTGTTTTCCACTCCTTCCCACCCACGGGCTAACAACCAAAACTCACGGCACACTTTCGCTTCTCGAATCGCAGCGCCGACCGACCGACCGACCGACCTCCTCCCCACCCCAACCCCATATTTCTCGCGTCCCTCGTCTCCCTGGGACAAAAAAATCCTCCACAGACAGATTAATTAAAACACTAGGAGAAGCGGGGAGCGGGGGACTCCTCTCGCTTTCCTACCCCTCCGCCGACACCAGCCCTGCAGGTCTACCGCCTGAGCGCGGCCAACCTGGACGTAAACACGACCTGCGCTCGCAAAGACAATAATCATAATCATCCAGAAATAAACCGACGCGCGTCTTCGCCAGGGCCCAGGGTGGTGGTGGTAGTGGTGGTGGGTCTTCTTACCTCTTCCCACTTGATGAACTTGCTCCCTTTCCTCAGAGTTTCGTGCACCGAGACCGGCTTGAGCTGCAGAGCGTGAACTCCCGGTCGCGCCCCGGCCATCTCGCCGCGCCGCGGGCGGTGTGGGGGTGCCGCTCGGTCTCCCCGCCGCTACAGCTCCGCGTCGGGGTCAGGGAAGGGACGGGGACCCGGTTCGGGGCTGCTGCTGCTCCTGCTGCTCCGCTTTCTCTCTCTCCTCCGTTTTGCTTTTGCGTTTCTTTCCGCGTTCCTTTCCCGGAGCTCCGGACGAGCGCCGAACCGCCACCCCGACGCGCCTGGAAAACTTTCTGCTTCCTCTCCGTCTCCGGCTCTCCTCAACTCCGTTTTTTTTTTTTCAGTGTTTTTCCTCCTTCTTTGAAACGCTTCGCCTTCTGTCGCTCATGTTTCTGGAGAGAGAGAGAGTGAGTGAGTGTGGACAGGCGGAGGGAGGGAGGGAGCTTCCTTCGCCTCTGCTGAAGAAGTTGTTCAATTATCGCTGTCAATCGCAGTTCAAGCCCAAGATGTTGGGTATTTTTTTTTTCCTCTCCCTCCCTCCCCTCAGTCCTCCGGAGGCGGGTCTTTCTCTCGAGTACTTAAATAATAAACGCTGGGAAGATTAAAAGTCGGGCATGTCTTAAAGGAGCAGCAGGGAATTGTCATCGGCAACCCGCACAGACCCCCCCCCCCATCTCCCTCTCCCCCTTCCCGGCAAATTACACGGGATTACTCGGCGCTCCCAGCCTGGAATGTCGTCCGGCTCCCCGGACAAGCCGTCTTAACCCCTCGGGCGCCGGGCTGCCATTTTTAACCGGCGAGTGGCCGTGAGTTATATCTAGTTCCTGCTTTCGTCGCCGCGCTGGTAGGAGCACGCCCTAAAAACTCCCACTTCCCCCCCAAAAAAATAAAAATGAATTCCCTCTTCCCCTGTATGAGGCACACAAGATCCCCCCCCCCCTCCTTATTCTCTCTCCCCGCGCAAGCTCGGGCAGAAAAACGGAACTCTGTGGTGTTCGTGTCTCCTCCTCTTTGTAGCTCGGTGTTGTGCCCGTCCCGCCTGCCTTTCACCTTGTGGACGTGGTTGTTGTCCGGTCTCGCCGGTACTGCCCCCCTGGCGATTTGTTCTCCTGGACACTCTGTGGAGATAAAAAAAAAAAACACAAGTAAACCATTTCACGGTGGGCATTTTACAAGCCTGGCAGATGGACATTAATAGTGTCTTGCCGTATACTAGCAATAATCTCTGGACTGGGACCCTGAACTGGGGTCTCCTGGGTGTCAGGGGTCGTCCCAGACTGGGACCTTGAACTGGGGTCTCTGGGCTGTAGGGGCTCATCTTGGTCTGGGACCCTGAAGTGGGGTTTCTTAGCTGTAGGGGCTCATCTTGGACTGGGACCATGAACTGGGGTCTGGGCCGTAGGGGCTCATCTTGGACTGGGACCCTGAACTGGGGTCTCTGGGCTGTAGGGGCTCGTCCTGGACTTTCTTTACTGGATAAGGAAACCCCATATTTAGTTAAGTCCAACACAGTCCAGATGGGGAGTTTCAAGGAGCATTTTTGTTATAATTTGACAGCTCAGTTTAAACAGAGGCTGATGGACTTTTTTTTTTTACCAGGGTTTGTGTCAAATGAAGTGAGTGAGAGAAGGGAAGAGCAGATTCATACAGCCTGCTTCAGCATGTACACCCTGCCACTGCAGTCACTCTCCTGCTGGTAGTGACCCTCACACTCTGTAACTGTGTAGAAACCTTGTAGCGCATCTCTCACACACAGTCATACAGGATCACAGCCCATCACCTCTCTCACACGCAGTCATACAGGACCACGGAACATCACCTCTCTCACACACAGTCATACAGGATCACAGAACATCACCTCTCTCACACGCAGTCATACAGGATCACAG